CAATCGTATACACATCGAATTGGGCTAATTTACTACAAAGTTATGCAAAGCAGCATCTACTATCTAGAATATGTACTGCGTGACTCTTAATAAGTCCCTGCCGAATGTTACAGCGTTCGATGATCACATGGCCTTGTTTATGTCCGGTCTATCTCTTATCTGAATATACTGTAGTGATGCTGGTCGACCCCGAGTCTAGCCTCCTGAAGATGAAGAGGAAATCCTTGTATTTCAGGAAGACCCTACTACGTATACGCGCATTGTGGCTGCTCAGTTGGATATATCACAATACAAAGTATGTTTACTGTGCATACTGCAAGATTATACCCTTATCACTACACGCCTGTGCATGTGATTGAAGAGGGCGATCCTGCAGGACGATTAGATTTCTGCAGGTACATGTTACATGCAGATACAGAAGATCCAGACTATTTTAAGAAAATTCTGTGGACCGATGAATCGAAATTTAATAAGGACGGGATCACTAACTACTATAATGCTCATTACTGCGCTGATAAAGAAGCTTTAAACCCCCGAAAAATAAGACCGACGGGGTCTCAGAGCCGGTTTTCAGTCAATGTGTGGATGGGCATTATTGATGGATATTTAATCGGACCTCATTTTCTGCCCGCCAATTTAAATGGAGAAGTGTATGAAGAGTTCTTGAAAAATCACTTGTTTCCATTAATGGAAGACGTCCCATTGGCGACGAGACAAAATATGCGGTTCCAGCACGACGGCTGTCCCGCACACTACAGTAGATTAGTACGGGCGTATTTAGACTCTAAATTTCCAAATCAATGGATTGGCAGAGGCGGGCCCATTGCCTGGCAAGCAAGAAGCCCAGATCTCACACCGATGGATTACTATATGTGGGGACATATGAAAAGCCTGGTGTACGATGCTTCGCCCGTACCAACGCGCGATGAATTAATTACAAGTATAATCAGTGCCGCTGACCAAATAAAAAGCCGCTTAACAACTAGAGTTACCAAAAGTGAATTACGTAAGAGAATGCGGGCGTGTATTCGTAACAGGGGATTACAATTTGAGCAGAATCTGTAAAATACTAAAGGAAATGTAATTAAATAAAACTGTAATTAAAATAAAAACCTTTTATTTATCCTACGTAATTATCGTTCGTACAACATTACTCATCTTTTTTTAATTTTATGTCTTTGTACTTGAGTTAGTTGTAACTTTTATACCTCAAATGAAAGCTTGTTAGATAGAGATATTATTTACATAATTTTCACATTTAATTACTAGGAGATTTTTTACAGAAAATTGCATTTTTTATCGAATAAGTCAGTAAAAAAAAGAAAATGATACATCTAAAAAGCGTAATTTTAAAACGTTTGTAGCTTTTCAACATTTTATTACTTATTATGAACTATTGGAATGTCCGCTATGCGACGATAACAAAAAACTCAAAATCAAACATGTAGTTTTTCTGTATTTCAAATTTAACTGTCTGAAATCGGAATAAAAAATAAAATTCAAATAACTCAAAAGCGGTTACCTTCTGGATAGGACATTATAGGTCAAAATCGGTTGCTTTTGACCTAATCTATCACACCTTAACAGGAATACGTGACATTACAAGTCACCCTGTATAATATGTAATAATCAGTCTTAATCAAATATTATTAAGATTTAGGTAAAGAAAACTAAAACCGTACTATAATTGTCTCTTAAAACACAAAATAAATAATGTCTTCTTGTTTCCAATATTTTGTAGAAAAACAGACAATAAAACAAAAATAGCAACTCATGGTTTGTTCCTGTTACAACAATACTATTTAACGTTGGCTTAGACGGAAACCTACTTTAATTTGAACATTTCTATTGCATAAGTACTTAACGCCCATTTAAAATTTGTAAACTGTGCTTAAGTTAAACAACTTTTTTTTGGAGCTTGAAGATCGTCTGATTCATTTTTGTTATTCAAGAATGGTTTTTATTGTTCATGAGGATATTTTGGGTATCATTAAACTAATAAATAGTGGTTTTGTATGAGAATTATTCAAAGACCAAAAACAAAAAGCTACTTCCAAAAGATTAGTAACCATGGAAATTTAGTGTGTGCAGTTTCGAATATTCCGCCTAGAATTGAGACTGAACTGGAGTTGCCCGAAAATTTGAGAGTTACCTGCTTTCTTGAACTACATAAAAAAGTCCCTAGATTTCTGTAGTCTCACAAAACTCAAATTCAATGTTGGTGCAACAGGACATTAGAACATACTATATTAATCATAATTGAACATTAGAATATAATAATGGTTTGTGAATATATTTTTTAAATTAGCTTTTGTAAAGCTTCTGTCATAGTAAAGTGTATTTTTTATTTGCCGAGCCCCAAGCTGTTGTCCCATATGTTGAACAATTGTCTACTAAAGTATGAAAGAGTGTGATCATTTGGTTTTTGGTAAGAAAGTGCTTGAAGTAATGAAATATTTACATTAGGAATTTTATATTCCAGCAAATTCTATTATCGAAATAAAATATGTTGTTTCTGTAAAATTTTGTAACTGTCTGATTTCAAGTTTTGTTGCACATACACACACCCTCCTACCCTGTGAGGTCCCTCCACCACCCCTGTTCCAGGCAACCTCAAACCCTTGAGGAGTTGGGGGAAGAGCAATCTGCTCCTCCCTCCTCTCCCGCCCGAAGGCCTGGCGTGGTGCTGCGTGGTTCAGGCCGCTGTGCATTCCCCGGGTGTGTGCTGCCGAGTGAGCTACCCCCCTCCCCAATTTTGCCCCTTTTTCCCGAAATTTGACTCGAACGCGCGTGGTGGACGTTTCACCCAACTGTCGGTTCTCGACTTTTATGGACGGCCTCTTTCTTGGGGGTCCTGCGCTGGGGGCTTTGACCTAAGCCCCGCATTAAGGTTGGTGAGCCTTCGCTCTTTCCTCGTCGACTGGAGTCAGTCAGTCAGTCGTCAGTCAGCCATTTGCTGTTTCTCTTCATCTCCTGAGGTTATCCCCGAGTCTGTGCTTGACTCTGCCCACCTCAATCGACAGGCTTCTTTTTGTCCACCCGTTGTACACGTTCTGTTCTTTCCCCTCTTGGGTGTACAACTATTGTCGGTCTTCTCCCCTTTTCTTTGGCCTCATCAGCTGCTAGGGCCAAATTTCTTCTTGTTGCGGCTGGCTAATCGGTCTTTTATGACGCCTTATTGTTCTTGGGTCGTAATCCAATGCGTCTTTAATCAGCACGTTTCGGTGTCTTTCGTTTTTTTCAAAGAATTTTCGGGCCCTGTCTCTCATATGGATTACGACCGGTACCTGTCGTAGTTCGTCATATAGCACTTCTGTTAGGTACATACCACGGTGCGTCCACCTCCTCATGGAGTGCTATGTTTTGTTGAGCTTGGAGCCTCTTCTTCAACGTTTTGGAAACGTAGCCCCAAGCTACTGCTGCGTAAGTCATGATTTGGAGCAGCACCATTTGAATGATGATGGTCTTATTCTTTAAGGACACTTTGCTTCTTCTGCGTATTAAATGTCTTAGTTTGGAGCGTGCCATCTTCACTTTCTACACCTGGCCCTCGACATGGTTCTTCCAAGTGAGTTTTTGGTCCATCTTAACTCCAAGGTATGTGCTGGAGTCGTTCCAGTCGACCTCAACTTCTTCGTCTCTTCTCCAGCCTCTCTCCATTCTGGTGGTCGTCATCTTTATTTTGGTTTGAGGTAATCTTCGATTTCTTCGGAACAGTACCGCTTCGGTCTTCTCAGGGTTGAGCCGGATCTTCCACTTGATGCACCATTCCTCTAGGTTGGTAGTCGCTCGTTGCAGATATTCCGTAACCATGCGGGGTCTCGTACTTTCTGCCGCATATGCTGTATCATCCGCATACACATACAGTTGCGTTTGTGGAGTCTTCGGGATGTCTGAACTGTAGATTGCATACAGCAGGGGTGATAGAACCGCTCCCTGCGGTACTCCTGCTTCCACAGTCCTCGTCGTCGAAGTTGCTTTACCAATCCTAATTCAGAATTTACATAGGACTTCACCAGTTGGATCATCCCCGTTGAGTATCCGAGGTCTACCATCTTGTAGATCCGTCATGCCACACAGTGTCGAACGCCTTAGCGGTATCCATGAACACACATCTCGACCAGCCTTAGGACCTGGTGCTCTGCTGAATGTTCGCTTCGAAATCCTAACTGTTCGTCTGGAACTACTCGGAGTTCTTCAGTTTCGTTCCTTAGTCTTCGTTCCATTAGCCTTTCCGCAATCTTGCTCAGTGCTGTCAACAGGCTTATGGGTCTGTAATTTTGGGGGAACCTTGGGTCTTTCGCAGGTTTTGGTATGTTGGTGACTGCCATTATTGCTTTCCTCGGGAGGGATGTCCTTTAAGTTTTGTTTAACCCTTAATTTGGTATTGTATCTTATACGATACTACATATTCAAATATCACTGTTAACGATGCGAGTCAACATATCAAATCTTTTTTGCCGAAAATATCTTTATTAGGCATTCAGTAACTTGAGTTGGTACTTCTGGCGCCATCTGGCATTTATTTTGTGGATTTATAATGTAATGGCCGAAACTTATCAGCGGACAGCATTGAGTGGCGTGAATTATCGGTAAGTACTCATAATTTTCTAGTAAAGTAAAACAAATATTCACAAAGAATTTGTAACTTTGAGGACATGGATGTTAGGTGCATCTTATAGAATTAGATTTAGATGATAATGATGAGCCACTTGGTCAGAGTTGCTGATCTAATTTTACTGTATCTCGTAGTCTACGTTGCCAGCTCCTCAAAAAAGGGATAGTTATTTGTTGTGTATCTAATGATCTACAGTGCCAAGTTCTCTTTAAGCAATTGATAGTTTGTTGTGTGTCGCATAGTATACGTTGCCAACTTACCGTAAATTGAAGTATCCTAGGTGTGCATCATATTATACACACTTAACCTAAACATATGTTCAAATTAATAAAATATGTCTTTATTTCTGGCTCAGATACTAGTGATTATTTTTATTTTCCAGAAGAAACTATTCTATTATGGCACTAACACGGAAGGACAAGATAATTGCCCTTCTACCACCTGCATCTTCTGATCTGAGTGACACAAGTGAAGATGAATAATTTCCTGGAAAGCTGTTTGATATGATAAGGGACTCAAATAGTGAGTCTTCCGAGGCTCCATCGATTCCTGATGAAGCAGTTGCAGTAATGGAGGATATAATGAATGATTTGTCAAACACCAATGACGCTTCTCCAGATGAAGCAACCCCAGTTGTTCAGAATACACCAGAAAAAGTAAGTCTCTGTGCATTTTCGACTCCAAGAACTTCATTTGCGATTACACCACTAAAAACCAGATCACATTCTAAAACGGGCAAAAAAAGGAAAAAATGTGAGTCATGCTGTTAGAGACAAGCTGATAAAAGACGAAGTCAGTAGGAAAAGGAGTAAGGTGAAAAAGAAAAAACTTGAATGTAGCTGGACAAATGAACAGTTTGCTTTTCCAGTAGATATTCCAGAAGACAATTTTACCACGCCTGATAGAGTGAAAACGGCATACGAATACTTTCAGATGTTCTTCTCAGATGATTTATTACAAATGCTCGTTGACAACACTAATTTATACTCAGTTCAACAAACCGGCAAATCAATATGTATCACACTCGAGGAAATGAAAGATTTTTTGGCTATTCAAATCCTGATGGGAATAGTCGAAATGCCAGCTTATACTGATTATTGGAGTCAAAAATTTAGATATAATGATATCGCGGAAATCATGTCGCTAAAACGTTATCAACAGATAAGAAGACACATTCACTTTGTTAACAACGCAAATCAGAACGACGATCCTTACTTCAAAATTAGGCCAGCTTTAGAAATAGTGAGAAGAAATTGTATGAGTGTAGAAGAAGAGAAAAAACAGAGTATTGATGAAATGATGGTACCATATAAAGGGAAGAAGGCCGGGTCAAAGCGGCAATATATAAAATCTAAGCCCAAAAAGTGGGGCTTCAAAATCTTTGTGAGAGCAGGTGTATCTGGATTGGTGTATGATTTTCTCATCTATGGAGGAGAAAAGACATTCAGAGAATATCACCAGTTTACCAGCGAAGAGAATACTTTAGGATTAGGAGCGAAAGTTATTCTTAGTCTATGCAAATCTATGAAAGCCCCTATCTGCTCGGCTGTGTATTTTGACAACTTCTTTACGTCTTTGGAATTGGTGCACATACTGAGACAAAACTACGGAATTTTATCTCTCGGCACAATAAGATCCAATCGGCTGGGGATCTGTTCATTAGAAAACGACAAAACCTTGGCGAAAAGAGGTCGAGGGTCATTTTGCTTCAAAAATGATAACGTCAACAAAATCAGTTGCGTTAAATGGTTTGACAATAAGGCAGTCATTCTTCTGAGCTCTTATGTTTCAGTAGAGCTAGTAGCTACTGCTACACGGTATACGAAACACAAAAAAGATAAAACTGATATACCATGTCCGAGTATTGTAAAACAGTATAACCGCCACATGGGTGGAGTTGACCTTATGGATATGTTAGTTTCACTTTACTGAACTCGGCTGAAGACTCGTCGGTGGTATTTATCTATTTTTGCTCAAATGATAGATTTATGCATGAATAATGCTTGGCTTCTTTACCGTCGAGAAACTAAGCTGACGTGTGCAGAATCAGGGGGCAACGTGGAAAGCATCAGTCTGAAAGAATTCAGATACTATGTCTCGAAATCATTGAGAATGAAAGGAAGATCAACTGACTCGAGAGTGAACGAGAATGTAGATATAAAACAAAGGATCAAACAAGCAGTTGTAGTTAGACCACCAATAGATGTAAGACATGACAGAGTCGATCACTTCCCGCAGTATATAAGCAAAGGTAGATGTCGATTATGCAAAAAGGGAGAAACTCATTGGGCGTGTACCAAGTGTGGCACAAGACTATGTTTAGTGAAAGATCGGAACTGCTTTTATACATTCCATCAGAGTAGTTGACAGGTTCCAGTGAACGTCAACTTTGGATTTTTTGTTCAATTATGAAAGATGTTTTCGTTTATTTGTGCTTAGAGGTTGTCGGTTTCTTATTTCATGCAAATGTTGTCCATTATAAACAATCAATAAATTATTTTACATAATTTTCTTGTATCCCTTTAAATAACTTAACAATTGGCAGTGTATCTATCTCTTAGCATACATTACAATGTAGCAAACAACTTCACTCAAATTGGTGATGTATCTTATCGGATACATCCTATATCTGCTCAAAATTCCATAAAAATCACAATTTTTATCTTATAATCACTTATATACTTATACAACGAGAAATTATTTTTCTTACTACTAATTCTTCATGTAAAATTTTTTGAATTGAGGTCTTTGAGATCTTCAAGGACGCCTTAATCTCGCGATATGTCACATGTCTATCTTCAATGATGAGTTTGCGCACAGCATCGACGTTTTTCTGGGTGACTGCCGTTTTTAGTGTACCCACCCTGGGATCGTCGCTAAGACTCACCCGTCCACGTTTGAATTCTCCATACCAACGGGAAATTGTCAAGTGATGTGGCGCTTCGTTGCCGAAAACAGACAGTAACTCAGCAAGGCATTGTTGTTGCGATAATTGTCTCTGAAGGTTGTAATAAATTATGGCGTGAAAATCTTCTCGGTTGAGTTCCATTTTTCTAATGACTTGGTGACATTTAAAAATTCACTGTAGTGAGAACACTGCACGTATTGTTGTGAAACTTTGAATTTAAGTTTACTAAAGAGTGAGGTTAAGATTCAGTACTGACGTTAAATCCGCAAAATATGCAAAACTTAAAAGACATCCCTCGTATAGGTTTAATGCCGGTACTATAAGCAGTTGTAGCTTCAGAACTAATTTGCTTCATATCTTGGTACGTCGCTGGCTAGTGGAACGGCGAGTGACACATTCTGAAGTTGCCCGGGAGCCGGTAATCCGTTTTCGGCGTACGCTGTAAGACTGACCCTCTAGCCCTTTGTCAAAGGTTCTCGCTTCAACTTAATTACTAAATTCAAAGTTGGTAGAGGGACTTCGAGATTTCGTGATTGCGCTGAGAACTTGGTCACAACGAACAGGACGATCTGCCTGTTGTAATGGTAAGAAGCTGTGAAAGTCCGCTTTGATCAGCCAATTTTTATTATTCGGGGCAATAAAGCGTTAAATAGCCAGGTAAATTATCGCTGTTAGCTACGAACAACGCAACTCCATATCCACTATGTATTAGGCAATACCCGGTACCTGCTGATCCCATGATTGTGGTCGATGGCAGCCCGGGTTTTCCAATATTCTGTGCGCAAGTACCAGGGGTATTTAGTTTCAAAATTAGTCGATTTTATTTGATTTACCTCTGCACACAATAACGCTGCGCAAAAAATCATAGTTAATGTTCTCTAAGATGTCATTATTCTTTAATGTATTTGAATCCGGTCCCATAGTTTATTGACGTTGTCTATCTGAACCTCTTGTAGCTGTATCTTTATTGCTCCCCATATAAAAAAATGACAAAGATTAAGATCCGGTAAACGAGGTGGCCATTGAATAGCCGCTTCTTGATCTCTATCAATCCATGTACCATAAAATTTTTCCTTCAGGTAATTTCTTACAGCAAGGTGAACTGGAGCACTATCATGCATAAAAATCATGTCCCTTCTTACATTCAGAGGCAGTTATAATCATTCGGGTAAGGCGTATTGAAGAAATTGAAGATAGCTATATCCATTTATTTTATCAGTCAACCTATATGGACCAACTAAAAAGTTGCCATTATTTCCCATTCAATTGCAAAAAAAAATCTTGTGAAATGACCTATCAGCTGTTGTTCTGTGTTCTGATACAAATTGAAGATAGCTATATCCATTTACTTTATCAGTCAACCTATATGGACCAACTGAAAAGTTGCCATTATTTCCCATTCATGTGCAAAAAAAATGGGTTTAAATTTTCTTTCTAAAATAGTTTTTTTTAAATATTCCGAACAATATTTGATGTATAACAGTGAAAATTGGTATACAACGGTTTTTTGGTACGACAAAACGAACCATGGGCATAGTTTTACTGTAGCCACTAGAGGGCGCTCTCTACTGCACCTGTAGTGTATTAAAATGACCGAAAAATTTTTCTTAGTGCAATTTTTTGCTTTTTGAATAAAAAAACTGATTCTTCGCACTTTTCAACATAAAAAAGCTCTCTTGTGAATTTTCGTTATAGTTAGCCGTTTTTGAGATATTTCGATTTTTAAGGTTCGATGCATTTTTAATTATATATGGGAACATATTTTTTTACATTTTCGATTTGGGCATTACAAGTAATTAAGATGATCGTTTAGATTGTGTTTTTAAACACAGCAATAATTCCTAACTCCAAATAAACAAAAAAAAACAGAATATTAATTTGTTTAATTTTCCAATATTATTTTGAACAAATTAAATTAATTATTTACAACTAAAATGCTATTGGATAGTTAGGACAAACATACAAAATCTAATCTAATCTCAAGAATCCACTGACAAAATGTGATTCTTCGTTCTCCGTCCCCTGGCTGTCGTCCTTGCACAGGTTGCAAATGGTAAGGACGTCTATGATCTTTTCTAAGAATACGGTGAACATGGCTTGCTGAAATTCCCAAGGCAACAACACTTGTGGTCGGATCTCTATCAAACTCATGCAGAATCATACGGGTAAATCTGCGCTGACGAACATTTATGTTTTGATCCCTTTGGAGATTTCCAAAACCATTTTCAATTATTTGGCGATGCACTCTTACAAATACTGAGCGAGTTGGATGTCGTCTGTTTGGAAATCTTCGTGCGTATTCTCTGGCTGCTTCTGCTGCGTCTCCATTTACAAAGCCATACACAAAATGAATATCCGCTAACTCTTGATTGGAGAATAAAAATGGCATTTATATAAAATTTACAAAAAAAAACAGGTAAAAGAAATTAAATTTCGTGCATTCACAATTGCAAAAAACGTTTCAGGTTTCAACAGACAACAAAACTGTCAACTAATTGACGTTTAACCTTATTCTGCTTTCAATTTCAAAAATATTTGCAGGTACAGCCTACTTCTAAAAATTGTCGGGATACT